ACGGTGGATCTGAATGTTCCAGGGATTCAAGTCTTCAGGATCGTTCAGTTTTGTCAGAACCTTTGTCTCGCACCATCCGACTTTTAATAAGCTGCTTTACTTCCCCAAGATAAAGACGTAACTCTATCAATACATATGACTTTTTAAAAGCTAACAAAAAATATAAACAGTAATCCTAACACAATTACGTTACAAAGTTTCTAAATTTGGTGTTTTGCTGAAAGTTGACCTGTAGTGCGTTTTTGAACAGGATAAGTGTTTTGGCTGTACAAAACATGTTTGTAACAATTTTTTTTGTACAAAATATTTCTTACATGAAGAAATGCCTAATTTGCACTGGTTTCCAAATGAGCTATTTTAGGGCGTCTTGTCACTTTAAATGCAAATAAGCTGCTGCTGCTGGCCACGCCCCCCGACTCGTTGAAAATGGCTGCAGATAGATGCGCAATTATCCAACCGCGCGTCTCTGAAAAGTAGAAAATAATGCAGCAAGAGGTTTCTGGAGAGTAAGTAAGCAACAAAACCCTAATCAGCTGTTGTACAGAAATAAAACCAGCTGATGGAACGGGCTGGAGTTCCGCTGAGGTTGCTAGGCAACGGGCTGGAGTTCCGCTGAGGTTGCTAGGCAACGGGCTGGAGTTCCGCTGAGGTTGCTAGGCAATGGGCTGGAGTTCCGCTGAGGTTGCTAGGCAACGGGCTGGAGTTCCGCTGAGGTTGCTGGGCAACGGGCTGGAGTTCCGCTGAGGTTGCTGGGCAACCGGCCTACGATTTGTTACATTCAAAAGGTTTTTTTTTCTGAACACCAAAAACACTTTAACTTAAAAGAGGCCAGGCGTTTTGTTTCTTTAAGCGCTTCCGATGTTTGTAGAAGCAGTAGAAACATAAACAAGTTCAAAATGTGAATTTTACATAATAGGTCCCACTTAAAGCAACACCATTCCCATCTGAGGACAATAATTTCTTTACACTGAGCCTAAATATTGACCAGATGTTATGTTTACTGCTTTAAACCATCAGTTATTACTTTTCTGAAGGATTTTGTCAACAAAACTACTGACTGTGGAAAATCTGAAGCAATAAGACTAAAACTAAGTAAAGTTTTGGATTTGAATCAAATTAGAGGGCAGTATGTCTTAGTTAGTTTGGAACATTTTCATTACGTTTTGCTCTTTTTGTCCTGGTTCTAAAGAACCATCTCCTTTTGTTATGTTGAAAACACAAGTAGGAAAAAATCCCTCAGCGAGTTTTGAAAGGCAGGAATCCAGGGCATCAACTTGGAGTCAGTGATACCGATCAGCATCGTCATATTGTTTGATGTTTTTATTAAAAATATTGACATATAAGAGCGATTTCTCCAAGCCACCCACAATAAAAGACACTAATTACTTTGGAGAGTCCCGATCCACTGCCATGTAATGCCAACATGGCTGCTGCCAAACTCCAAACAAGACATTCATGTTCCCTTGAGCATAAGCTCAACTTGTCATGTCATGGTGGCTTTTCCACTATACACACTTCTCATTTCTTGGAAAAACTAGTTTAAGGAGCTGCAGTTTTAAAAATTGCTATGCTAATTTTCATTTATTTTTCACGTTATAGTCGCACTAATGTGATGCAGGCCACTAAGCAGCTTTCAATTTTCCTTGTTGCTGATGAGCAACATTTTTTAAAAGTTCAAAATCTTAATTTGAATACTTTTGCAGGGTTGACTTTTGTTGTTAGTGAGAGCTGCTAAAATGATAAAAAAATCAAAAAGAAGATTAAGAAAAGTGAGTAAAAACTGGGATTATTTTGTTTAGCTACAACAGAGGGTCAAAAACTTCTTCAAAAGTCGAACGACAAACTCAAAATAAGGAAATAAAGTTGTGATATTGTGAGAATTTTACAAGAAAAAAGTCTTAATAAAATAAGAATAAGTTTGTAATAATGTGAGAATGAAGTTAATAACAGAATAAGGTCAGTATTTATTTTATGAGAATACCATATGTAAAATAAATTAAAAAGAAAATGAGGAATCTTGAGCATTTGATGAAGTTATAATTTAATATTGGTTTTACAAACTGACTTTGTGCAAACAACTGCATTTCGGAGAAGAATCATCAGATCTAACAAAAGCTTTGCTCACATTAAAATGACTTTTCTCTAAATTGTGTAACTTTTTCAGGCAACATTGCGTCTTTATTCCGCCGACACGATGACTTTGTTGTCGGACTTTAGTTTCGTCATGAGAAAAAAAAAAAATCTGTCTGCTGTGGCTTCAAATAAGTTGATCCAGGAAGTTTGAAACGTGCGTTGAAGTTTGTTTTGTTGGTTTGTTTCAGGCTTCACAAAGGGTGATCCGATCCCAGTTTGCCTGCACCTACAACGATGAACCGCCGCTCAACCGAGTGCTGGACTTCCCGAGCGCCAGCCAGATGCCAACCTGTGTTCACCCGGCGCCAAAGCCAAGGACCGGCCCGACTGTGGCAGACGGGTTCAACCCAGATGCAGAAGATACAGCAGGTTGGTTCACATTTCAACCTGTTCAACAGAAAAAGATTAAGGCACTTTGTGTGCATTTATATGTGCAAAAACCCAAAATGTCAGCATGAACGACACAACTGGTTGGGAAACTTTACACCTTGATTTTCCTCAGTGGAGAAAACCTGAAACCATTAAATTAATACCTTACTGTAAAATATTTTAACCTGCAATGGCGCATTTGTAGATAAGAGGGGAAAAAGTTAAATTCTGCTCAAGAAATTGCTGAAATTTCTAAGAAGAAACAAGTTTGAAAAGTTAAAAACTTTGCAAGAAAATTTGGAAATTCTTGAGTTTCAAACGTTGAAACTGGGAAAAAAAATTTCTAAGAAATTTCTCAGATTAATTTCCAAAATTCTCAAGTTTTTGACTTAAAACTCAGAAATGTATACATTTTTTCCTAAAAATGTATGAAATTAATGTCAGAATTGCTTCTAGCAAATCTTTGGCTTTTTACACTTTAATAAAAATTTCTGAGATTAAACTCAAAACTAGAGTTTGTGAAAGCAAACTTCAGACTTTTGAGACTCTGAAATTTCTACTTTGTTCTTCTTTAAAAGTTCTGAAATTAACGTCAAATTTTCTGTTTCTTCTAGCAACTTTTCAGCTTTAGATTATAAGAAATTTTCAATCAATCTAAAAATTTCTTTTGGCAAAAATTTATTTTCTACATTGCCACACAAACCCAAATAAAGTGACTCCACAGACTTTTTCCCAATGTTTGTTTGCGTTGATCTGTGAATATTCAGACTCCACAAAGTTTATATGAAAAATGCTGAACTTCTGCTTCATGGCATATATATATATATACACACAATGCTTGGACGTCCAGTACACTTTGTGAGTTTACCTTTCGTTGCTTCCAACATTAAAAGGTGTTTTTGGGTTGTTTCAGTTTCTGCAGCCAAGCCTTCCAGTGAATCCTGGAGAAAAGAGCGCTTTGAGGTAAAGCGGGGGGTTGCACCCGAGCAGAGGAGTGGAAATGCTCAAAACGGAGGTGGATGTCCAAGTAATAAAAGGAAAACTGGCATTCAGATGCAGAGCAAGGGTAATAAGAGGAAGCAGCTGGATTCTGAGCAGCACACCGAATCAGAGAATGAACCTCCGGAGAAGAAACAGCACACCCGTGTGTCAGTCAAAGTGCCCGGCAAAAACGCCTGCAAGGCTTCAAATACAAAGAAACTCATAGCTGGACAGGGAAAGCTTACCAGCTTCTTTAGAGTTTAGGCTTCTTTCACTGATTCTATGTCAAAATATGATTGTAAATTTGCTTAATTTGAGTCAACTAAATGGTCAATTTCACCAAAACACAAATTATGAAACATATTTGTCCCTGCACAGGTTCCCTGGCTTATATTTTGTCTACTCTTTTGTTTAAAATTTTGACCCTTTAAAAATTTTTGTGAACAGGATCTTTTTTGTTTTTGAGATTCTTTGACATTGACATGCAACATAGCTAGCTGCTAATTAGCTTGGCTACTTTAAACTAAAGGAAAACAAGAACTAGAACTGGCTAATGAGTTTTTCCTCAAATATGTATTTCTACAAACTGAGTGGTAAACAGGTTTTGTACAAAACAATAAAATGATGCGTCTGTCCGACTGTAACATGAGCAAACTGAGAGAAACGGCTAACCACAAATAGCAAACTGGGTACTAGCAAAAATGTTATGCTCAACAAATTTTGACAAATGTCTTAATGTCTGGTTTCATCAAAGATGGGCCAAGCAGTAAAATACCTAAATTATTGCAAAACCAATTATGATAATGGAAAAATTATTAGCATAAGCTAAAGCTAACAAGAAGTGCTAACCAACTAGCTAGCTAGAAATGTCTACTTAGACACTAGCAATACATTTTAAAAGATCTTTCTACTAATTAAATTTTATTAACATGTCAAATGTTTTGCTTTTTTTCCTTTTGGAACATAACTTGAAATGTCTGGCTGTAGCTTACCGGTATCGTTAGCATTCATCCCTTTTGCTAAAGACGCAAAAAACAGATTTCTAGGCTTCGGCTACAGATTTGGATGTTTTCAAAGTAGCAAAGGTGCCAAATGTTGCATTTGTCAAGATGCAAAATGCTTTTTAACTAGTAGTTTTAGCTCAACAACCATAACACTTTATTTTATTTCCTCAGTTCTTGGGCAACTTTTTGTACTTTGACATATTTCGAAATCCAAGAGCATGAAAAGGTTTCATCTTTTGGATTTGAAAATAGTTCTTGATATAATCAACAAATAGGTGAGTTTTATAAAATGTAAATGCATTTAAGGGGCTATATTGGTTTTTTTCCCCCAAGATAAATTCTCATTTTAAAACTTGAATTGTGTGAGGAAGGAAAATCAAACCTGGAATCCATATTTGATCATTGCACTTTATTTCTAAATTATCTGCATACATGTCAACAGAAATGCATTTAATTACTACATATGAGGTTTGAACGTTTACTATGTACGATTCCAATGCAAGCTTCCATTTAATAAACTGTTGATGTTTTACATGTTTACGGTGGACTTTATGTCGTATATTTGAGAAACACTCAAGCTTCCCAACAGGGTCGGTAAACTCTTCCGATCATACATCGCAGCACTGCAGGGATGAAAACACAGAAATCGGTCAAAACAATAATTTGATAACAGTGAAAAAATGAAGGAGATATTCCCAGACTCTTACTGTCGAGGTCTTTTTCTCGTTTATTTATTTTCAAAGTGAACTCATCAGGTGTGCGGTCCGAACTTCGCTCTGCGACCAGAGGGTGGCGCCGGTTCAGCCCACGAATACGTTGCTCCACCAGGTTCACGTCCTACAATATATTAATCACCACATGTATAATCTGAATAATCAAGAAGCAACAACAGCTTCAAAAGATTATTTTTCCGCTCAGCAGATGTTGGATTTCCCTTTATCAGATGATCCAACTCGCAGAAAATGGAACAAATGTGTCCTCCTGTTTTTTTACGATATCACGGTAGCCTGTTTTTTCCAACGTTCTGGCTCACTCAGATGTAGATGTCTTTGTTGTTTCAATTATGGCTCTCTGTTCCCCATTACCACAGAGATAACCACTGTGTTCATGACACACTAGAGACGTAATCGCCAGAAAAACATATTGCAGCCAAAGGTTTTCATGAAACACCAATATATCTTCATTCCTCCTGGTGTGATTTCAGTAAATCTTTATGGGCTTGTGATCATCTGACCTTTTCGGGTAATGGCATTTCCCGGTTTTCCAGCACTGCTGTAAAATTATTTTATAGGCGTGTGGGTAAAATATTGACTTAACAGTAGATGACTGGATGGTGGCCAGCTGAGAACGGTCAAGTGGAGATAATGTGCACTGTGAAGAAGACTCACAATGAATGTTTATGACTATTAGGAAAAAATTACTTTTGCAAGTTTGTCGGTTAATTCAGATTAATAGTATTGGCTTATAGACACAAAGAACAGCTTGCTGATGATGACCTCCATTGGTTTTAACTGTCACATAATGTGCCAAATCTTAAATGTATAAATCTAAAAAAAAAAGGGATGCAGTGCTTTGCTACTCAGTGGCCAGGATGTACTTGGTAAAGGCTTAGCATTGTTAAATTCTTGCCTTTTTTAAAGACTTTATAGTTGGTATTTAGGTATTTATCTTCCGATCTTCCAAAAATGCATAACTATCAAGTAATATTTTCAGATTTCCTGTCAACTTTGAACATTTTTTCAGTCAAAAACATGGTGGCTGGATGGATGAGTGTCTGCCCTGGTACTCCACGCACCAGGCTGAGCAAGTTTTCATGGGGAAAACTTGCATTTTAACAACAATCAGTCATAGTAAAATGGTAAAAATTACTAATTAATTATATTTCAAATTTAGCTTTCAGAACATTAATGTTAACTTGTACTGTCTGGGGAAAAATTGCTTAAAATAGAATCAGCACAACTAAAAACTCTTTTATCCCTTGGAAAACTGACCGGTATGACGATGATTTTGGACGTCCCGTCATCTGTGAGGCTCCGTCGGTACGTCAGAGGAACCAAAGCGTGTTCAGTCACGTCGTCTTCAGCCAGAAATGAGTCCAAACCTTCTTGTTCTGCAGCGCCATCTTCTGAAGGAAGGGCCACTGTGACCAAGTGGCTGTTCATCTCAGAGAACAGCATTAAGGCGAACAGGAGGGAGCAGATGGACATCGTGGAGATCAGTGTTCAACTCAGAGCCTGTCTGATGTGACGGGGCAATAAGCTGCTTTATATAGTGAAGGATGGTGGAAAGTGTCACCAAAATGCAGCATCGCATCGATCTGTAAAGGCTGAAGGGGACAGGAAAGTTTAAAAGGTGACGCAAAATAATCTACAATCTAATTAAAAAGAAAAAAGGGGAGATTAGAGATGGGATGAGAAACATGCTGGTTGTAATTCTCCATCCTTATCAAACTGGGGTTGACTGGTCACATAAAAGGTCAGAGGGCAGAAAATAAGCAGTTTACTGAAATAAACTCAACAGGTGGAAGGACAGACGCCTGTTGAGGGGTCAGAAAGGTCATAAAGGTCATGCTTTGTGGCTTTTCAAAACCTACTGAAAAGCCATCAACAGGCGTCTTAATACATTCTGACCTCTCTGCTCTATAATCCTTCCACTGTTGCAGAGAATGACGTGTTCGCAGTTCATTCAAGGTATTTTACGAATTATATTTTACTGCACTCCAAAACACTTGATCTTAAGTATTTTAGTTTATTACGCTAATATCTCCATCTCTTCTCAGCAAGACATATAACCTGGTTAAGTCAATAGATTCTTTCAGGCCTATGTTCACTAGCAGATTATTTTCATGTTTAACATGGAAAAATGTTTTATAAATGAAATAATTTGCTGGTACTAAATCAATATTAAGGAATAAAACAAGCTCCTACATCTTGCTGAACGATTTTGTCTAATTTTATGTGAACCATCATATTTGCACCAAAGAGTTTGTGTTTTTCTGGCCTATTTACCAAAATTAATCAGTGGGAACTGTTTTGCTACACCGTCTCATTATCTTATGAAATACCAAGAGAGCCAATCACATTGCAGGGATTAGGGGCATTTAGATGTCTGGATGACTTGAGGAAAAAACTAAGGCTACAGTTCAAACGGGTTCACCGAAACTGAACAGTAGCAGAAAGAAAAACGCTGCCTGGATGAGTTTCAGTTGCAACATTCAGATTATAGGGTCTGAATTTTGCACCAACAGCATCCAGGCAAGAAACAATCCAGCTCTGGAGCAAAGGTTCAGCCTTGTGGTGGCGTAACGGTGAGAGGAAACCATATTTTCTTGTTCTCTTACCAACTGAACATTGTTTGAGTCTCAAGGCAAACCATCATATTGATGATGATCATGTCTTTCGCTTTGACCAAAGCGCATCCATCTTCCATATCGACTTATTTCAAAATCTCCTGTTAAGTGTGACGATGAGTTCATTGAACTTCAATGAACTCATCATTCACTAGATCTCAGTCCAATAGAGACGTTTGGGGTGCGGTTCATAAATCAATTAAGCTGTTAAGAAATGACTCAGACAATGTAGAGACACCATGAAGGAGAGCCAAGAAATTCAAGAACAAATTAAATAAAGTTATTGACATCTATCAGCTTTGTTTTTTCTAAGGTCACCAGAGTTAAAAAAAAAGTATTTTCAATCAGCAGCAAAGCACAAAAGAACATAAAACAGTCCACAACACAATATATAAATTGATCTCTATTCAGTTCAAACAACTAAAAAAAATGCATTTCAGTTCAATCACAGCTATACTGCCGTTCCATTGGTTCTAAAGATTCCAAAGAGGCGGGGCTTGGCGAATTCAACCAATCCAATCGCGGCAAAAAGGTTGACTCATCAGAACAGGGCTGTCAGTAGCTTAGCATCTAAATCTCTGAAGCTCGGACTCTGGCAGGAGTTTTTGGGTGAACGTTGGGGAATATTTGGGAATAAGTCAAATACTGTGAAGTTTATCGTCTCAAAGTGATCCTGGTTCAGATGAGGAGACCTTGAAAGCAGCAGCACTACAACAGCGTATTTATTAGTGCCAATATACGAAAAATGAGGAAGAATAAACTGGCCAAAAAACAAGAAAAGTCAAAAATTTGCTAGAAATAAAAATTAAATTCACTTTTCAAACTTAGAAAATTTCCAAAAGTGCATATTGGTGCAACAACTATAAAAGTAACATTTAAATATTTTTTTGTTTTTGTATTACTGTGTTAGCTTAGTTCTCTATAGGGCCCCCTGGTGGTGTGGGGGTCCTAAGCACCCGCTTAACTTGGGCAAGCTTTGCACTTTTCACATCTTGTTTTTTCAATTATTTCAATTACATCTTGTTTTTTAAAATGTATTCAATAATGAGGAAGATACTCTTTCCAACCATGAAAGTCCTGATCTTTAAATTGAAATGGATGCTGCGATTTTCCCGTTTCTTGACTGACAAGCAACGACATGAAAATGCAGACCGTCAGCCGGTGATAAAAAGGCGGAGGCAAGCATAAATGTTGACACAGCTCTTTGTGGGTTTCTTCGCAGCTCAAAGGGCTTACCTTATTAACATCAGAGGATCCCGTAGAGCAGGGGATGGAGAACCAGGGTATGAATAATAACTAAGGATCTCAGCTGAAGGGATTTTACTTGGAGCGGTCAGCCTTTATTTTCTAAGTATTATTGTTGGAGGGCTGGGAATTCTGATGAAGAAGATGGCTGATCCAGCAGAAGCACATCTGAACATTTGAGCTCCACACGTTGTTGTTTTAACCTTTAGGGGTCTTACTTTCTGTTTAATAAAACCGCCTTCTTTTCAAGCTGATCTATCCGTTTTATTAAACCTAAACGCGCAGTGGATGGACGGCACTTCACTTCTATACCACCTGATTCAAAGCCTCAAAAAGGAAATTGAAGGAACTATCGCACTGTTTTCTCTAGTCTGGATTTCTAAGAAATTGTTACCATAATTCTCCAACATAAAACATTAAAAGTAAATCCAAGAGGGGAATAATCTCACGAGAGCCAGATGTGATTTGAAGGATCCTTGCTGGATCTCTGGCTGATGTCTTTGAGGAGTTTTCACCTTAAAGACATCAGATAAAGCTGTTGCTGACTTGCAGCTGGCCTAGATTTAATCTCCTCCATATCTGCCTCATGCCTTATGTTTTGAGTTTTGAACTCGGAGAGGCTGCTGAGTGTTTTATTCATCAACTCTGTCGGATGCTTGCATCACCTGTCAGATGGCGGTGCTGTATTTCAATCACACCGCCTACGACTTCTAGCCTGGGCTCCATGACATCAGTAGCAGCATTGTTTTATGACCCTCTAGGGGTGCAAGAAAGGTCATTTCCTCATCCTGTATTAACGCACTGCCTTTCATCAGAGACACCCGTCTTCTGATGGGAAGCAAAAAACGGGAGAGAAGACAAACACGTTTTGCGGCGGACGGCGGTAAGAAGCTCCAGTTCCAGGGAAATTCGATGCTCCGTGCAGGATGCTTCACATGTGTGCGCTCGGAGCCAGGGGGGCTGGCGTTGATGTGGGTGCAAAGATGGAAAGGGAGTGAGGGGTGGTCGCATTTTGGGCAAGATTTCTCTGGTTTTGCCAAGAGAACCGACCATGGTTTCCTGGAACAATGCAGCTGATGAGAGTCTCTCCAAGGAAAATAAGGCTCTGACATCATGGGTTCTTAAAGCACGCAGCTGAGCCAACACTCTCCTGCTATAATCAAGTCTCAGTGAATTTCCACTGTCGACTGAAGCCGAGAAAGAGGGAGAATCTCCAAATCCCAACGCTTAGTTGCTTTTTTTTTTTTTTTTTTTCTTTTTTAAAGACACTTTAATCTAGCTCCTAATGTGCTGGTAGCATTGCTGGACTGTTTTCCTCACATCTGCTGTGATTGGTCATAATCAATGCATTGCTGTCTTTCATGGTGTCTGGGGACAAGATTCTTCTGGAGTAATAGAGCAATAAAACACTGATCTGACAAAAGCAAAAGCAAAAACTCAGCAGAGTTCGACTGCTGCCTGCGCTACTGGGGGAAGAAATGAATGGCTTAAGACAGATGAGGCCTTACGTGGTGCTTTCTTTTTTCTCCCTGTGAAACAACCACCAGAATAAGTAGTAAAATTGGTGAGTGTAGTAAAAGAGACCACAAGGTCATTCAAAAGACAATTGTGTGCTTAAGATGAGGAGTTGAAGAGTGTGGGGAGATTGTGTTTCAGAGTTCAGTCCAAAGTACGTGTCCTTAGATGCACTGGATCTCACAGTGAGCAGATCAATGAGAGCGGAGGCTGCTTTTTCCAGTCCTGGCTTCTGAGGTTACTCACATATTCTCCTGTCACGACGCAACACTAAATAAGAGGAATAAGCTAATCTTTAATTATTAGCTCGCTGTAAATGTTCTGCACGCAATCTGCCAGGTTCATTTGACAGTTTGCTAAAACTGACGAAATGAAACTGAAATTGAGGAAAAGTTTTCGTTCAATGGACCAAATAAAAATGGAGGGAAAACTGTTCCGAAAACACGTGGAAATTATAGATATAACGTTCTTTGTTTTTGTGTTTTTTAATCTATTCAATCTTCTCAAACAAAACGGTGGCAGAAAAAGTTGAATAAGAACTGAATAAACATTTTGAAGATATTGTATGTAATGTAATCACAATACTTAGGCCTTTTTTAACTCTGCACCTAAACATTATCCAAAAAACCACGAGTATAGCTAATAATATTTCACTAGCAAATACACTATCAGAACTGAATTTGACATGAACTGTAATAAAAAGCCCAAAGCTACTTATTTTTAGTTAAATATTGTTTGCTTTTAGCTTAGTTTTTATTGTTTTTGGAAGTAAGTTTTCCTTTTTTACACTTTTGTCAACTTTTAGGTACAGAATTAAAAAAGAAATGGATTAAATTTTCTTTGAACAGCCAACTGACTTTTACAATCATCATTTTGCAGACCAGCAAAATTGCAAAAAAATAAATTAACACGAAAATGAAAGATATATCTATATTTTCAGTATGTCTTATAAACACACCATGTAGTTCTCGCTGAGCTCATTTTTAAATTAATTTATTAAAAGTGTCTCCATGTTGTGGCAGTTTATGATAACCTGTGAAACAGCATCAACAACCAATCAGAACAAGGAGGCGGGTCTTAGCGTTGTCAATCACACTCATGTACGCGCTCTTACATGTGGTAATGGCGGAGAAACAAATTACAGTTACAGAAAAGTGCTTATCTGCCATCAAAGGCGGCTATGCTATCTAGTTTTAGGATTCACAACAGAGATTGATTGACAGCGCTAAGACCCGCCTCCTGGCTCTGATTGGTTGTTTCTAGAGAGCAGAGAGCTCGATATTCTCACAGATTATCTGCCTCATACCATTTTTTACTAGTACTGCAGCTTGATAGTGATTAAAACTAACTGAATTAAACAAAAAGTCACAATACAATGAAAAACCAAGAACTACTACAATCCAGCTCTGCATCCTGTAACCGGACCGTTGTGGAGGGATAATCAATTCTGTATTAGCCTCGAGGAGGGATGTAATAACATCCAGGATGACCTGGAGCGAGCCGACCTCCCCCTCCGCTCCTCGTTTTGATCCCCGCCGCCTGCTGGGCGGCCGCCAGGGAGTCAGTTCATCAAGGTCCCCATCCCTGCTCCATACATGCATCCGTTTGTGAAAGTGCTGACGGCGAGCGGGCTGGAGCGCGGCCCTGTCACTGCGAGCATCCTCCAAAGAGCTGAACATGCAGCTCTGGCCTCAAGGAGAACCACACCCCGTTGTGTTTGGGTTGGCGGACCCTTCCGCCTCCGAGGAAGTATCACGTTGTCTTTCGGTACGACCAGTGCGGTCAGCTTCAGAGTGCACACAGCTTGACTTTTGGCTTTATCTGCGGCCAAAATATCTTAAAGGATTTAAACAGGGACAAACATCAACTATATAATTATCTGCTGCTTGTGTGTCTGAGTCAACAGAGTTCCTCGTAAAAGCTGCAACGTTATGTAAGAGGGAAAATAATGTCTTCGCAGTATTAGCTTTCCACCAACAGCCTGTGGGTCTGAAGTTTCCTCAAAACTATTCACACCTCCGGTCAGCATAAATAAAACTATTCCGAGTGTTTAGTAGAGCATTAAAAGCATCGTGAAATCATCATCTGGGCATCCACATAAACAAAATACTTATGCACTCCAAATTTTACGATTTTAACCTCTAAATAAATGGAAAAACATGAAGATTTTCCTTCCAGCTTCAAAATTACGTTCTACTTTATGCTGGAGATCACATAAAAATCCTGACTCAATAGCTTGAGGTCAGGGCCGGCCCGAGGCACATGCAAGTTAAGCAGCTGCTGCAATACGACAGTGTCCAAACAGCACCAAGCTGGCATGATAAAATATATATATACTGTATATATTTATACACCTCTGGAAAAAAATAAGAGACCACTTAATAATCTATGAACGACTGACTACATGTCTCCCAAAATTACAAGCAAAAAATGAGAAATGGTCAAAATAACAAAAAGATAAATAATGCAAAGGAAAAAAAGTTTGTGTTTCCTTAGAAACAATTCTAATGTTTAAACTCAATATCCGGTGGAATAACTGAGGTTTTTAATGTTTATCATCTGATTTTACTTTCAAATAGTTAAAACAACAGCTCTTCATTTCAAAATGTAATTATTTAATTACAAAAACAATAACTACAGCATTTTACACACATTGGAATGACAAAGCAACTGGTATGGGGGGCCCCAAATGAAAACCTGCTCAGGGCTCCAAAAGGCTTTGGACCGGCCCTGTGTGATAAAGATTAAGGGCTTTGAAAGCTTTTTTTCAAGGTGTAGCGTGTGAGTGTTGAATAAAAGCAGCCTCCAGACATTTCTGTGATGTTGACAAGTGGTTTATTCAGCAGGAATGGTGAACAGTTTGTCAGTATTTTTCCCTACAGAAGGCAATCAAGCACCATAAATAACAGGGCTGTAATTAAACAGTTTCTTGGACAGTGAGCTTCAGGAAAATACATTTACTCATTAAACACTTCAGGGAGTCATGAATGACTCACACACGTCCTCCCGTGCTTAAGTCTTTTTTGATTATTTCACACAATTGACAGACTGAAATGTTCGAGTGATTCATAAGCAGATGATTTGAAGTCGTTTCTGTGGTTTGCTCCTTAAAATATGCAATATACACAAAGGGATTTCTGTCTGGTTCATTCGCACTTTCACTTTTTACAACTTAAGCATTAAACTGCAGTGGAGTTGAGATAATTGGATCATGCTATAGTTATATTTTCATGAGTTACAATTTATTTAAAAAGTCTTTGGTATGTACTGTATATCTAAAGGAAGAACATATTTTTAAAAGAACATTAAAAGCCGTTGCAAAAGATTCACACACTTTAATGTTATTTTTCGAAGCTCAAGAGCAACAACCATGCCAGTCAATCGGATAAAAGCAAATTTTTCATTTTGATTTTTAATAATTTGGTGTTTGAGGTGTGATCCTGCTCCTGAACTTCTAAAATTAAGTTGTTTTTTTCCTCAATAAAATATTTAAAACCTTATCTGACTTTGAAAGTGGGACCATGCAACTTTTGTTAAATGGTGATAAAAATGCAAGTGTTGATTTGTGCATGTGGAAAAATCTCAAATAGCATTTCGATCTGGTGTTAAAACACGAATTCTTTCACATTTTGAAAATAGAGGGAATCATAATGTCTTACCAAAATTATACAAGCAGCCTAATTCTCTAAATTATTGGTGCCATTTGCTTGTATCAAGGCTCCACTGTTTAGCTATTTTAGCAATTTAACTCCTTCACTTGTACATACAGTTGTTATAATTTATGTAAAATAGCGTTAATTAAGCATGTATCTACTAATAAATGTTACATTTTTCTGTTTTATTTGTAATATAAATGTTAAAGTAAACAAGAAGTCTAAAGTCATGAATGTGCTTGACTGTTTATAGAAGAAGTCGCTGTGGCTGGTTAGCTTACGTAGCTTAGCTATGTTAGCATAGCATAGACGTCAAAGAAGGAAATAGCTGATTGTTTAACAAAATATTATGAAGATGTTAGGTTCCTCAGTTTATTTAGGATGTTTGCAGTTTTTGTATTAACTTAGGGTCTTGAAGCTTTGAGAACAAGACTTTCTAGCATGCTTTTGGCTAAATGTGGCTAATGCTAACAGATATGAAAGTGTATTGGTTTTAGACCTGACAAAAAACAAATGTTTCCAACATTTTCAGTTCCCTTTATATCAAAGTCCATGAGCAATGATGATTGATTTTTGTAAAAATTTGTAGTCTGCTTTGGGTAAACGACATTATGTAAGCTGCTTTTGCAGTATGTTTTAGGCTAAAATGAGCTAATAGCTGAAATATTAATCTTTGACTGATCCTGTGTTATGTTTAGCGAAATAAAAACCCCTAAGTTGTAAATGTGCTGGCTACCCTAACCCTTAACCCTAAACCCTAACCCTACAGTTGTTATTGTTTTAAAGATAACTTTAAAAATTGTAAGCTAAGCTCCACCGTTAGCATCCAAGTTTACTTCCGCAAATGCTGCGCACGCTCTCAATTTGTGAAGTCATTGCGCCCTCTACTGCGCATGCGGAACACTTTCAGGTAGTTTACAATTCATGCTAGAGAACACAAACATGTTGCGTGTATTTGGAAGAGTGAACAACATGCCGCAAAAACACGATTTGACAAAAAAAATTCAGAATTGGGTCACTTTAGGCTGCAGTGTGAAGGTAGCCTCAGTTAACAAAGTTAAAGCTAATATTAGTTATATTTGTTGCTGCTAGGTTTAGGTGCCAATTCATTCACAAGTACAAGTTCTGGTTTTTAATACAAAATAAAATGTATAACCTCCTAATATAGATGGATTTTCAGGACAGCGAAATCATGTTAAGTTGAAGTAATTTTTGCAAGGAAAATATTTTTTACCTAAATTACTTAAATATGATCATGCAAACTATAAAAACAATGTAAAGTATCACAGGAACAATTATACTAATGAACAAAATGCAATTACTTTCTACGAACAATAGAGGACGTCAAGTAAAAGTTGCATAATCCCACTTTGAGTTCCCCTAATGTTATATATACTTTGGCTTCCAGGGAGGCATATGGACGCACGCACACACTCTGGACAGACAAGAGCACACCATGACCTTTAACAAGCTTAAACACAACTGGAAGAATCACAGTATTTTTCTCAAGACATTTGGCAAAAGGGACTTATGTTGAGAAAATAATTTAAGAGTAGTAGAAAAAATAGCATTTTGCCTTCTTGGGGCCACAACATTGTATACTCATTTTCTTTTTTTTTGTTTTTTTTTCTCGTTTTAGTCTCCATGCATTCACAGAGATCACACAGATACATTTACTTGCTTCCACTACTGAAACTGCTCACAAATAAAATCACTATTAACATGGTGGCCACAAGGCTGTGCAAAAGGGAAGACCTCCAATGTAAGCCCTGCCATTCGTCTGTCTTAGCCATCTCTTTGCAAGTACCAAACTATAAAATAGCACCATTATACAGTGGATAGGATTTTTAATACAGTTTTGCTATATGAAACCATCATGTACAATGAGTGATAGTAATGCAAAGGTTAACATAATGGGAGTACAGTTTGATTATACACAGAGAGAGGAGACAGAGCCAGATATGAGCCGTCTTTGGGGCTTTTTCAGGGAGGCTCAGACAAAAAAAAAAAAAAACTGTTTCCTGTCAATTATCATGCAGTAACTTCTCTGAACTGGCTTGTTTGTGAAATTTGTGAAGGTGATCTTGACCCTTAGTCATATTTGGATTATTTATAAGTGTAATTGTGTACTGTTGCAATGCTGCATCTCCCCTGTCAGACGCTGGTTGGTCATGTTTACCAGTTTATTTTGCATGACTTCCCAGTGGACTTTGAAACGGATGCTGTGCTGTTTGGTTGTCATTGCATCAAATTATACAATACTAGTATTAGTCCTCTGTTAAATAAGAAATCATAGGCTGATAATTAGGCTAAACTTTACTAAATCTCAACATTTCATCATGTTGTAGCCACAAACTTCACCGTATTTCACTGGGATTTTAACTACCGGTAATAGAATTGAGAAATGGAAAAAATTATGTTTTTCCACTGTTAGTTGTGCTCTTTACAAATATTTCTTTTGTGGAAAAGTTGCACAGAGAAACTGAGATTTGTGAAAGAAATGCTGTTTAATTTTACCAAAAGCCACACAAGGAATGAAGCAAACATGTAGAAGAAAATGACAAAGTCAGATGAGACAAAATTTGGGATTTTTGTTCTTTTTCTTGTGTAAATGCTTTTACTTTGCAGGACCAGGGAACCAATCAGTGTCAAAGGGAAGATTAGTGAAGCTAATAAATCAATTATTTGCATGACAAATCTAAACAAATGCAAATAATCATTTCCAGGATTATAGTTTTTCAAAAACTGGATGACAAAAGTCTCGATTTACCCCTTTTTAGAAGAACAGTTTTGTTAATGGAGACTTTATTATTCATTTTATCTGTTATTTCTGTATTTTTCTTTACTGATTTTTGAAAATTATTTCTCATATTAGTTGAAAACAATCTCCAAACAACAATATTATTGTTTATCACAATAACTTTTGTTGGCATTTTATCATCCAGAAAAAAATTGTTGTGCCTATTTACAGGTAAACTAGTAAAGAAGGAGCTACTTTGGAATGGTCTAGTCAAAGTTTAAAATAAAATAACAATAATAATAAAAAAGGCAAATTTTAAAAATTGATGTAACTGTCAGTCTGAAAGCAGGACGGGGTATATCCTGACAGACCTGCAGGATTCCCCCATTTCACAACTTTGTGGTGATTTATGACATAAACGTCCAAGAAAAAAAAAAAAAAATAGCAGCGTGGTTAATTTAGTTTTTGGCTCCAATATTTTAGTTTTTTCTTTGTCTTATCTAAAGAAGTTACTTTCAAAAAACTGATCATTCATGATTTGTACAACATGTTTGTCTCCAGGTATCTGGAGTTTTCGCAATCATATCTGGAAAAACTGGTGACCTGTGAAAAGCTAACAGAAAACAAACATAATGGCTGATTGTCACTATTTGATTAGCGCTCTCATTTATGCCAGCTGAACTTTGAATCCACTGACTGACCCATTTCTGTTGAGTTTTAACAACCATGACAAACTGAGAAGACAGAAATCTTGGGTAAATTGAAAAGCTTATTATTTTTAAAAAATTAAAACCTACAAATTATGGTTAAAGTGGGGCTTGAAAAGGAAATTAACAACAGCAACGTTTAAAAGTCCGACAATACACAACATGGTGTTGGTCTTTCAGATAAACAACATATCCACAGTAATGCATAGTGCATAAAAACAAACGCTTAAGATAGAATTGAATTTGAACAGGGATAGTAACTGCTATATGTGGCTGTGACACAGAAGTAATCAGAAGAGTGAAAAGGATGTGACCAACTATTCCTGTTTGGGTGACGACCCCACCTTCACTGGAGCCAAGGAAGGTGGTTGTTGCCGTTTAAACATGGAGGTATAGCAAGCTCTTATAGTGTCTTAGCAGCTAAACTAGTCTGTTAGATTGAGTTAACAAAGATTTCCTCCCGATATGGAATGGTGCAGTGTTTAAGATGATCACAAGTACCCTCATCCAACCTTTTAACTCAACTTTTCTACTGTTTTAAAGCTTTTAGGCCATTTTTAGCTTCGTTTTGTTATACAGTGAACCATTCCAATGGGGTACCAGGTAAGGCCACTCCCTTCTCTCTTCCTAAGGTGTTGTCCATTCGGTGCTTCCCTACATTCGGTAAGTTCTGCCCCCGGAGCTGCCTCGACTCGAGTTTTTCGGATGGACTTCCTGCAACACAAAAACAAACACACCTTAGAAGTCACAACCAATGACAGTCGGGTCAGTTGTCACAACGCTATGGGACTTTAGGAGCTGTAAATATGGAAACTGGAGAATCTTTCTGTGGTTTTAGTATTTTATACCATTCCCAAACAATAAGAAAAAACAATCTAATCTACAAGAACCAAACCGAGAACAATCATTGAGACCCATCAAAATCTAAGAGTATTTTCACATTGGGGACCAAAACTGAAATATTTCTTACATTTTCAGTTGGTGAGGTTAAAACCAATCAAACTATGAAAAACCTGTTCCCCTCCTCGCCTGTGGGGGCACTGCACCAAGAACCACAAAAGCCTCTGAAAAAGACAATGAGCGCAACTTCCTCCTTCGTACAATGTAAACAAAAATAGAATGACATCGGATTTCGCTGTAGGATTTCTCTTTTGTCTTTGGAAAGAACCATTTCTCCCACCAGCGCCAGATTCCTGTTTGGTTGCATTTACCCAGAAAAGTTCACTTGGGATCTGTACATGTATTTGAATCGCACCAGAGTTCACTTCAAACCAACAAACACCATGGATTTTAGGCAGAGCAGCATTTGGTTTTTTGGTTTGCATCAGAGTTCGATTGCGTTCACATTTCCCAAAATGAACCAAACGTTTTAGACAAACTAACCAGAGTTTGATTCAATCAGACTAAACAGGTGTGAATGAATCCTTACTTAGCTTTTTAACCACTTCACTAGTGGCGTTTCCATTGCAAATGTGTGCTAAACTTTGGCCACATTCAACTAAAGTTAAAAGAGCACAATTTCACAATTGCGGTCTTTCCATTAAATAAGAAACTATTTCAATTTGGCCAAAAAAATTACCTCATGTACCACCAAAACTTTTTATCAAACGAGAGCTTCCATTAAGAAAATTTACTTTTGAAATGTTAAATTTTGTAATTAAATGGTCAATGTAAGTGTGTTTGGGGTGATAATTAAAGTTATCATTAAAGTTCATGACATCTCAATTAGAAAAAGACTGTACAAGGACATTTGTTTGTAATCACTGTGCTACAAATCACCGAAACGCCAAAACATAGATTTGGCCATAATTCACCATGTTCGGAGAAAACCAAACCCAAACGACCTGACACCAGCTGTAGTGGAGGCGTAACGCAGTGGTGGGTTCTGATGGGGGCTTGCTTTGGAGCCACAGGACCTGGACACCTTACAGCCAATGAGTCAGCCATTAACGCCTCTGTAAACCAGAGTATGGCAGCATCAACTGTGAGGCCATCTGTCCAATGGTTGGCCTAAACTGGGGTCAATAACAGAACAGCCAGGCACTGACATCCGTTCATCAACAATATACCAACACACGGGAAGCAGCTGCCTAGTCAAAGTCCAGATCTTATCCTGATTGATATTTAGAGGTGACCGTTAGGAGTGCAAAACATGATGTCTAAAAAGCAGAACAAACTGATGTGGTGAGGAGGTGTTATTCAAATGTAGGGTGCACTTAATTTTCCAAATTAGTGTTACATAATGGTAATATTAGCAACATTAGAACATCAGCTTTCACCAAAGGATGAATTGGTTTATCCTTTGGTAAGGATGAACCAAATGATGACACATCCACCTAATTTGGCCAAATACAAGCACCATATGTTCAAGATGCTAGCCCATTTTCAAGATGGCCACCATATTGGCTGTAGAATCACTACATTTTGCTATGAATATGCACCAACTTACCCAATGTAGAAGTTTCTAGCATCAAATTATATATTTTTGACAATGTAAAAACCAAATCTTAGACTCTAAAATCTTATAGAATCTTAATTTTTCCTTATTTGAGCTTAGTTTAAAAAAAAAATAATAATCCAACACAACTTTAGCTATCATGCCTGTTTGTAGAGATCAGGGGTGACCAAATATTTTCTTAAAGCGGCTATATTGGAAATTTAAATATTATATTAGGACCATATAATATAAATATTTGTTATTTTACTTCTAGGTACGGTTATATGAAAATGGTATTTAGTTATTGATCAAATCAATCCAAAAATACATGATTTTATGGCATTAAGTTGGCTTTAGCTGTGATAAGATCATCCATACCTTGAAGGATGGATGACTATGTCCAGATGAAGGTCTCTGTGGGAGGAAAACAAAGCCAGGTAAGTTGGATTTATTTACATATTACTTATTATTTTAATGATTTATTGTGTTAGTTCATTGGTCTGAATCGGTCGTGCTGCGTTTGCTCACCTTCTTGTTTTTTGTCTTGTCTGGCTGCTGCGCCGTCCTGCGCTCTGTGCCCTTGTCCGCTCGATGTCCCGGGTTGCTGACCTTGGGTGTCCTTGGCACATCTGTGTGGCGCTGTGCGCGAGGAGACCGAGATGTCTTGCTAGTCCTGGCGGGTGCGCAGTACATCTCCAGGCGCCGCAGCTCACAGCTCTGGAAGCAGCACTCGTCCACGATGCCATGCGACCGCCTTGCGCTGGGCCCATAGCCTGTTGGTTTATCTGTTTGGCGAACAAAGACACTTGAAACTATGAACTATGACTTCACAATTTAACACCTTGAAATCCTGTTTATCTGTCTCTTTAAAAACTCATCACATCACTTGCCTGGTAACCCTCTGACACTTTCACCAGCGTTGCACTAATTAGTTGGAAGAAGCAGATGCACAGTTCCACTAGGTGTTTGCTAATTGCAGCTGGCTAGTCTGAAGGAGCTGAGTGATTAATCATTTTACTAGGACAAAATTATAATAGAAACAAAGGGTAATAACCACTTAATTACCAGACTTTGTGTTTTCTGTATTTCCATAGAATATCTTAACCTTTATTCAGTTACTTTAACTTTAAAGCAAACTGTAAAGCACCTAAATTGTATATAATTAATTTATTGAGTGTTTCCAGAGAAGTGACCCAAATCCTGTTCTTTAGTTGAGAATAAGTTTACTTACATTGTACATTATTTTTTTAAATGAGTCCCAAAGAATTTGCTAACTTGACATTGATCAACATATTGCTTTCCTAATTTTATTTTATTAAAATATTCCATGCTTAGTTTGTTGTTGAGCATGTACGTATATTTTTTGTAGTTCTTGCTTTTCAAGAAGTCATAGTTTTTGGTCTGCCAGTACTTTTGACTTGATGATTTGGCCCCAAGTGACAAACAGTTTGGAAATCCCTGGTTTGACGGTATTAAAAAGGTTTTTTTACCCACATAATTTTGATTTCAAGACACAAATCCACCACCGCAACAATCCACAGAAAGTACAGAGAGATTTGAGATCATAAGGAAGTCTGGAGGAACTTTTTAGTAGTTTTACTGAAAAACTGTAGTTTTAGTTATAAAACCTGTTGAAATATCAATGAATTGTTAAAAATGAAGGTCCCTGTGGTACTAATTTGGAAATATTTGCAATATTTGTGCTTAATTATGATGGTAAATGTAACTTTTTATTACTTTCTGTATTGATCTTGAACTATAATCTGACATCATTTAGGGCTGAGGCAGCTGTTTAGTACAACTTAAAGTTTTTGACCATTTTTATCTCCAATAAACTCCCAGTTATGTGTTGGCACAAAAAAGTGCAGAAATTTGATGATTTTCTGAGAGAATTTCCATGACAATTCTGAAAGAAACTGCAGGAACTGATTTATATAATTTTAGAGTAAAGAGATAAAAACTGCATTGATCTAATTGATAACATCATTTTTAAGCACAGTCGGTGTTTAGTCTAGAATCTAGTGGGCCGCATAAAAAGCTTCAGTGGGCTGTTTTTGGCCCACGGGCCTCGAGTTTGACACATGCGCTTTGGTGGAAATGTTGCCACACTTTTTCGGGAAAGTTTTCCTAAATTGACCAAGTTTCATCTCTTTATAACAAAATTCCCATGACCTAATAATAATAATACTAATACTAATAATACTAATACTAATAATAATACTAATACTACTACTACTACTACTACTACTACTAATAATAATAATAATAATAATAATAATAATAATGATTGTCCATTCCCAGCAGACTTAGCAAAGTTTCAGCCTATAAAACAGATTGTGTTTATTGTTCTGGCAGGTTTCCCAACGTTATGCTTGTAGTAGAGCAAAGATAACAGCAATAAGTAAAATATGAACCAACCTAATGACATTAAATTCCTACAAGTAAAATTTACAGCATTGAACATTGCACACTGTGGACCAAATTTGGCAGCTGTGTGTTGGAGAATGTTCTATTCAGCCATTTTTGGCTCCATTAATTTTTTTCTCCAGCCCTCTGAGTCCGATCCACCTGCAGAAACATCGAGGCCTCTCTGTTCATTCACATATTCATTTGGAAAAAGCCCGGCTTTAGAGCCATTCAGATGCATACATAAGCAAAAAAGGCTATGAAAATGTTTTCAGTAAAAATTTATAAGGCTATTTGAAGGTCACTCTCTTTTCGTGATGACGCCATTCCCGCCGTTCCACTCAAAGTCGATCCTCTTTGTTGGAGAAACTCAGACCCTCCATTTAGAATTCCCAGCTCCTTTGGTAAGAAGGAAAACGCTGGGAAAAGATGGGCTTTTCCCTGTGACCAAATGAAATAATAATAATTTAATATGGCATTTACAAGGAGGAAATGCCTCTCTCTCTCTCAGAGTTAATAGCTCTTGGCTCCAAAGCCTGCCAGCGCTGACAAAGTGCATTAACTCCTGCTCTGTGTTTGCCTTGTTCTGACAATGTTGCTTGGACAGAGGGCAGCTTTCATTAAGAAACAGAAGCATCTTTCTCTTCTGGATTGAGAAAAAAAAGAAGATAATGGAGGCGTGAATGAGATAGAGGAGAGGAGGTTTTGTGCATGAATTATTTATAAAGCAGGAAACCCAAGTTGCCTGGATGTATAACTTCTGAATGAAACACCTCGTTTGATTGACGGTATGCTAATCTTGTTGAGCATTTTATGCTTTTCCAGGAATTTGTTCCAGTTACTGAGTAACAAACTGATGATGTGTTGCTGTGGGAGCAACCTTGGCTGCTATGTTAACGACTGATGTGAAGAAATAAAGAGAGAAAAACTTAACTCAAGTCCACACTGGTGGTTATATAAACACCAAACCATTACGAGCGAAAAGCAGGAATCTGTGTCCGTTTGATTGGCTGCATTTCCAAGAAGAAGAAGAAAAAGCTTTGCAAATTAACACCCGGTGTAATTCCAAACACAGTTTGCCACCCTGCTGCACAAACAGCTGGAAGGGAAAGAGAAATCAACTGGTTGCTGCTCTGGATAGTTAGGACAAACATACATGAAGTACTCAGCTCTAAAAGGTTTTGGTTTTAAAGGTTTTAACACTTTCGATAATTACGCTAATCCCTCATAAACAACGACTTGCTTTCCAAGAGTGTTCTCAAACAAATGAGAGTAATTTGCATCGGTTTTATGCCTCTCTGTGCTAAGCTGGAGTTTACTTTATCGTCTCCTTGCATTCCGAGCGCTAGACTTGTTTTTTTTGGAGTTGTTGTTGTTGTTTTGGTGTGTGACAGGCATGTAGGGTTCAATAACTGCCACAGAAAGCTGAGTTTTACAGCTCTTTATGGTTCATAAAAATAGATTATTGGAGCTAACGCACGAATCTAAGCCCTACAATGGCCGGCGTTTCTGACGATGAAACCCAGCAGAAATTTACCCGTTTACTATTAGTGCCTCCCAAAAATATGTTTTGGTTGATTCCACCATTGCAGTGCAAAAGCCAAGAAATCTGATGCAAGATAATTTGATCTTACACTTGTGTACTTCCTGAAATGTCAAGGAATGGAAGGTCTTATTGATTGGTAAATGAAAACAAAGAGATTGCTATGGGTTATCAGTGAAAACAAAAAAACACCAACTTAGTGTTTTTCACGCTTCAGTTTATGTCTGCAGTTGCATCTCAGTACATTTCAGTGTCATCATGACTTAAAGTTTTAATTAAGACTGACATTTATTTTCCCAAAAATGTATTATGAGCACCAAAATAAATGCTTTTGAACTCAGTAACTCAGGGTTTAAGCCTGGCGGGCCAGGCTTATGATACTCTGATGAGGCTTATGAGGCTTTACTTTTCCCCCACCAGGCTTAGCATTGCTTATTTATTCAAGATTCTTTTTAAATATTTGCATTTTTTTAAAAATTTATAGTTGGTGTTCAGATATTAATCTTCCAATTTTTCAATAACACAATTATCAAGTGATATCTTCAAATTTCCTGTCAACTTTAAACTTTTTTTTTTAAATGGCCGCTGGATGAACGACTGCCAAGCACCCAACCACCAGGCTTGGCACGATTTCTGGAGGAAACCTTGTAATTTATGCAAAAGTGTTGAGTGAATACAATGCACAGCCTGTCTTCTACATTTCAGATTTCTTAAATTTAATCGTTAAAGTTGGGGTTTGTATTATTTGTAAGCCATCAACATGCTTTTACTAGACCACTCTGTGTAAATCTTTGAATAATTAGACATTTACAAATCATGTTAAAACTGAATCTAACCCAAGATAAGAGGCGTAAGAGGCTCAGCGAACATCAAATTTCATATACAGAGGAAATAAGCAAATATTGTCAAGAACATCTAACATACAAGGAAAGTACCAACTTACACAGATGCCACAAGTTTAGATTTGCAAGTGTAAAACTATTTTTTTTAAATAAAAAATGCATTTGATCCTTTCCCAGACCCAGCAACTACCAACTATCTATTGTTTCATATCTGCTTTGATGCCAATTACATTTAAATTCCAGAAAAAAGACTGGGAGAGAAAACTGTTGTATAAACACATTATGAATGAAACTTGCTGGAGATAAATGTGGTCCACATTCTGTCAAGAATGGCAGAAATGACAGTGAAATATCTCACAGGGAACAAATATCTTATTAAAGTACTAAATCCACAGTCATAGCAACCGAAGTGACGCAACAGGAGGCAGAAAGCATTAATACTGAGGGAGGATAAAGACTGACATGCTGCAGCTGGGAACAATTAACTAACAAAGACCAGGGGTGGAGGAAAACAACAGGGCATTATCTGAATCTAAATGAGATTACTTCAGTATTTAATAGCATTTCAATTACATCTTTGCCTTTGCTTATCTGAAATACTGACATATTTTTAAATATGAGTTTAACATATTTAGTCCAACACACCGAACAGATCAAATCTTCTTCAAAATCTTAGGTTGATAAAGATGAAAGTTTTCCCCAATTTTTTGAGGTGGACTCTTTAGAAAATCCAACTCTAATATATCAAGGTAATCCTGGTAAGTAAGTAAAGCTTTAAAAAAATGAAAATAACAATAAACCAAACCAAAATCCAACATTGACTGTTGGAGAAGTTTTTATTTCCTTTATCACCCTAACCAAGGGTCCTCTCCATGGTTCCAAATATTAAATATTAAAATTTTCTTTTGTCTTTGAGACGAAAACACATCTAATTCAGTGCTAATGTCAGAAAAAACTCCAGCTTTTTGTGAAACTCCGCCTTCAACATGGCTCC